GACAATACTATAATTTAAGAGTAGTTTTTGTATAGTGTTAAAGTCGACATGTAAAATATGGACCTTTTCACACTTTTCATAAGCTAGCAAGTAGATCTTTTTTTGCCAAATGCCCAATTCTTTTACGATATTAATGCACAAAGAATCATAACACGAGCATGGACATTAGAACCACGGAAGAATGAATTTTTAAGGATGAATTTTTAAAATCTCGAGAAATTTGCATCAAATGGCGTGATCCGAAGCATGGGACGAGAAAGCTCAAAGAGATCAAACTCTACTCTTTTAGAAACATTGGTTGGTAGATCATATAAATATAATTCATATTCACTCTTTATAAGTATCTTTCCCTTATCTATATGCTTCACCCAAGAGTCTTTCACACCATACTTCTTCATAATCCATGTGTCGGCCTCAACACTATCACCCTTGGAGAAACATCTCAAACATAGGCAAGAGTCGTAAACGCTCAATATCATATTCCTCTTCTTAGAGGTCTGAGTGATGACATCATCAGGTAATGGGATTTGTGAAAACTTTTCTTCTCCGAAATGAAATGACCATATATTGTTGTGATCAAGCCAATGACTATACCCGTTAAGAAAACATCCATCGGTCGTAATCTTCAAGGGTGCATTGCCCACGTTTCTCCATTCATCATTACCTAAAGTCTGTATCTTTGCCACTTGGATGTTCGTCATCATATCTGAAAGTAAAATGAGAATCTGACATCGGGCAACACCCCAGTACACAACTCGATATAGAAGATTGATTCCATATTTCATGCATATTTTGTACTTTCACATGTTGTCCCGTGAGCAAATTGCATGCGAAGTAGTCAATCTTCGTACTTACGAAACAAACAACCCCCTTGCAATGAGACCTCGCATACCATATCTCATTAGGGGTGACAATTTTTGGATGAACCCTAATCATACGATCAACACCCACAACACATTTCCCCGAACCATCGACATCCAATTCCTTATCAATCTCAACCAAATTGAAAACCAACCCATCACCTTCGCTCCAGATGTCATGAAACAAGAGGGCAAAACGAGATGCATTACAGTGGCTATGAAACGAAGAGAATTTTTTATTGACGATGATATGATATCATTCCTTGCAAACAAGCTGACAAGTTAAACATGTCTTAATGGGAAGTCTACCCAGAATTTCCCATAACATGGCAGATGGTATTTCTGAAAAGGGCCGACGCTCATTCACTTTCTCCATATCTATTGATCAAGAAACAAATACGTGGATTAGTCAATTCTTCCAAATCGGAAGCACCAAGGAAAAGAAGAAGAAGATTAGCATTTGGTGGGTATAGTTCCATTCAAAATTAAAGTAAAAGTTGGCAAATTACAGACACAAAATGCCAAGAGAATGAGAAAGTTGTTGGATCATACAATGTGAAATCTAGAGATAAATTAATGAACACTCCAATTTCTTGCATTTCAAATGAAGGATATACACAAATATATAGGAAGCTAAAGTTTTCAAAGTTACATAATTGAGTTCAATTAGGCAACACATCATGTGTGACCTCTGTGCCACAATAATTGAGTTTGCAATTTTATTGTATTAAGGCTTGGAAAGTTGTGTGAGGCACAAATAATGTTTGGTTCAACAGCCCTTTTGAAGAAAAAAAACATTTTCTGCCTAACCGGCCGATCAGAATTTTCTTTGACGTTTATAACCGGATCAGACTCCGATACCATGTTGAATATTGGAAAAGATTATGATTTCTCAATGAATAAGGAGAATACTGGGCAGTATATATAAGTGGAGATTCCTGACACAACTAGGATTTCTGCAATATAGTGCGGAGTAACTGACTAATATACGAAGACTACCATAAATACATATTTTAACTATAAGTGTCTAACAAATAGCACCAGAGCACATAGGAAGAAGACAATGAAGAATTACCATTAGAATTTCAACCCAAACATGTGAAAATCATAACCATTCCGATTAAACAGAGTGAATCTAATTCCAAACACAGATCACAAACATAAAGATTGGAATTCTAGAAACACAGATCACAAATATAAAGATTGGATTCCACAATAATATGGTAAGAGAGGAAAAAAGAGATTAAAGATTCACCTTTCCGTTTGCAATTCTCCTTCCCCCAATTCCTTTGCGTTTGTGGCGCAGTAAATAACGAAGGGCTATGAATTACGGAGTAGTACGGAATGGGTAATTAGGGCTAAATTTAAGGGGATTGTTGTTCCCTAATCCGATTAGTATTCCCTAGGAATAATTTTGTCTAGTTTAACCTTTTGGAGTTAAATTTGACAAATTTTAATCATTAATAAATAAGAATTACATTATATAAGAGTAAATTCCATAATTAGTCCTTTATAACATGTGGGTTTCCATATTTAGTCCTCTGTTATTAAATATTACCCCCGTAATCTTTTTTTAAGGGTGTCTTTCCACAAATGGTCCTTTTTTTGATCTTCTGCCATGTTGGTGTTAATTTAAAGGCTAAAAGTATAATTTGACATCAACATTATGTCTAGTGACGTGTTCTGATATTGGTTAAGCGTATAACACAAAAATAATGACTATGATTGTGGGCTAGGATTCCAACGAAAGACCACATTTGTAGACTATGATTGTAGTAGAAAGCGACTATAATTCACAAACGACGCAAACGGAACAGCCTTTGGAATTATGTATGACAAAAAAGATATATTATCATTGTGAAATTACACTTTTAGCCCTCAAATTAACACCAACATGATAGAAGATCAAAAAAAGGACTATTTGTGGAATGATACCCATAAAAGAAGGACCACTATGGTAATATTTGATAAAAGACGACTAATTAGGGAAACTCCCATGTTATAAAGGACCAATTATGGAATTTACTCATTATATAATAATGCAAAAATAATTTGAATATGTAATATATATTTCTCCCCTAGATTTAATATGTAATATATATTTTTCAAAGATATAATTCTATTTTATTAATATATAATGTAATTCTTATTAAATTAATTCTAAAAGTTTATCTAGTTTGAATTAATCTTTCAGTCCGATTTCCTTTGGCACAATGTCCAATATTTAGTACTCCCTCCCTTCATGAGTATTTATCTACATTTGACTTTTTTGTCAAGATTGGTAAACTTTGACTTCAAATTTAATTAAAATAGTATTACATATTGATACAAAAATAGTTTTATTACATTTGTTATATCAAATATTTTCAAAATATTATTTTATCTAATTAATATATAATATATATTTAATTTAATTTTAGATCAAAGGTTGAAAAAAGTTGACCGAAAAAGTCAAAACTCGATAAATACTCAGAGACTAAGGTAGTACAATGTTTTCTGCTTTTGGACCAAGTTTTCATGATTCTTTTTTGGGCTCGGGCTCATACAATTCGGGAGAAAGACCAAAGTAGGACTAAAACATTAAATATATATACCAAAATAGGACTTCCATGTTTTTATTTTCGAAATAGGACTTACATTACCAAACATGGTCATGTACATTACCAAAAAAAAGTATAGTAATGTGCACATGTACAGTTACGCATTACCATAGTTCAAAGTCCCATTTCGAAAAAAAACATGAAAGTCATATTTTGATACTTTTCTCTATGTTTTAATCCTATTTAGGGTGATTTCTAATACAATTGTTGGGATGAATTTATTTATGGAGTGCATTTTGTGCTTTCCTACGGCTGTAGGATTGGTTTGTCATCTCAACACTATTCTCAGACTCTACTCTTGCGCGATTCACTGGTTATTGTTGTTTGAATCATCAAAATATAAGTACGCACATGAACTTAAGCTACACTCCTCTGTGTACGGCTAGCATGATTGGGTCCAATGGCGGATCCACTTTTTTGTAAAATGTTTTTTACTCTACATAATTAATTGTTTATAAAATAAAATTTTACATTACCTATTTAAAAATGTTTTACATTTAATAAAGTTTTGAAATTAAACTCATTATTTTTTGTCATTTTAAATAGTCTATTAAAAAGGGCGCTGCCCTCGAACTCGTGATCAATGGTGCCCCCATCTATTTCAATTTCTAACTCGTCCCTGTTTGGGTTTTGTATATGTGAACTTGTGGTGGATCCTTTCACCCTATACCAAAAGGCAAATGGTTGAGCAGAGCGCTAAGGAGGGAGGGCAAGAATGCCCGGAAAGCGGGCGGTGTAGGGGGGCGCCATGGCGATACAGACAGATTAATATTACGGAGTACTTTTTTTTATATCAAGAGAATACTACTCCCTCCGTCCGGTATTAATGTTTACGTTTTGACTTTTGGTCATTTTTATTGATGGTTGACTATGAAGTGAATTAGTCCAAAATACCCTTCCCATGTCTAGCTTCACCACACCACCAATTGCCACTAACCCTCCGTCACCACCCTGTCTCCGGCAGCCTCCTTTCGTGGCCATCTCCCACCACAATCATCAGTTTCAACATCACTGCCAACCCCACCATCTCTGCCACAGCACTTCCGTCGTCACCGCCAGGCGCCTGCCCCCCATTGCCTCCGTCTCCTATCACAACCACCAGCCCTACGGCCCTACCACCGCTGTCAATCCCACCATCTCCGCCAGAACTCTGTCACTGCCGGCCCTCCATCACTGCTAGCATTTTCGCCGCCATCTCCTATCTCTGTGATTGCAGATCTGTTTAGATCTAGAAGAAAGGTGGAGAAGGATGATGAGGAAGAAGAAGTCAGATCTACACAAAGAGAAAGAAGAAAAAAAGAAAACAAAAAAATGGGGCGCTAGGAGGAGAAGGAAAAGAGAGAAGAAAGAGTGAGGATAAGAGAAAGAATGAAGATAAGAAGAGAAAGGTGTGGTGGAGAATAGAAAGGAACGGTGGGGGAAAAGATAAAGATTAAGGAAGGAAAAGAAGAAGAGAAAGAAAGAAAGGTAGAGAAGGGTATTTTTGGAAGAGTATGGGTTAAAATTAGAAATGTAAACTTTATTTTCGGACGGAGAAAAAGGAGAAACGTAAACTTTATTTCCGGACGGAGGGAGTATAAGTTAAGAGTTGTTTTTGTATAGTCTAAAAGTCAACATATAAGTGGATCTTTTTTTTTGCCAAATGTCCAATTCTTTTACGATATTAATGCACAAAAAATCATAACACGAGCATGGATCTTAAGACTATGGAAGAATTTTTCATAAGTTACACAAGCTCTTAAATAATTAACCAATAACTTTAAAAAACTTGAATAACAGAACATAAGAATACAAATGAATTTTTAAAATTTCGAGAAATTTGCATCAAAAGGCGCGATCCGAAGCATGGGACCAGAGAGCTCATAGAGACCAAACTCTACTCTTTTAGAAACATGGGTTGGTAGATCATATAAATATAATTCATATTCACTATTTATAAGTATCTTTTCCTTATCCATATGCTTCACCCAAGATTCTTTCACACCATACTTCTTCATAATCCATGTGTCAACCTCAACACTATCACCCTTGGAGAACCAACTCAAACATAGGCAAGAGTCGCAAACGCTCAATATCATATTCTTTTTCTTAGAGGCCTGAGGGATGACATCATCAGGTAATGGGATTTGTGAAAACTTTTCTTCTTCGAAATGAAATGACCATATATAGTTGTGATCAAGCCAATGACTAGACCCGTTAAGAAAACATCCATCGGCCGTAATCTTCAAGGGTGCATTGCCCACGTTCCTCCATTCATCATTACCTAAAGTCTGTATCTTTGCCACTTGGATGTTCGTCGTCATATCTGAAAGTAACATGAGAATCTTGAATTTGCGTGACGTCGGGCAACACCCCAGTACACAACTCGATATGGAAGAAGATTGATTCCTTATTTCATGCATATTTTGTAACTTCACATGTTGTCCCGTGAGCAAATTGCACACGAAGTAGTCAATCTTCGTACTTATGAAACAAACAACCCCATTGCAATGAGACCTCACATACCATATCTCATTAAAGGTGTCAATTTTTGGATGAACCCTAATCATACGATCAACACCCACAACACATTTCTGCGAACCATCGACATCCAATTCCTTATCAATCTCAACCAAATTGAAAACCAACCCATCATCACCGCTTTTGACGTCATGAAACAAGAGGGCAAAACGGGAAGCATTACACATGCTACGGAACGAAGAGAATTTTTTATTGACGATGATATGATACCATTCCTTGCAAACAAGCTGACAAGTTAAACATGTCTTAATGGGAAGTCTACCCAGAATTTCCCATAACATGGCAGGTGGTATTTCTGAAAAGTGCCGACGCTCATTCTCTTCCTCCATCTGATCAAGAAACAAATACGTGGATTAGTCAATGCTCAAAGGGGAAATTATATATGGGTTAAGAGCAAATTCTTCCAATTCGGAAGCACCAAGGAAAAGAAGATGAAGAAGAAGATTAGGATTTGGTGGGTTTAGTTCCATTCAAAATTAAACTTGTGGAAACCATCCCATATATTCCCTCGGTCCCGCTATATTCGTCCACTTTTGACTTTTGGAACTGTTCATCTAAGCACTTTGACTCATCAAATTCTCTCAATGTGTAAGTCTAAATATAGTAATGTGTGATCTTGTTTGATTTGTCTTAACATATAGATTATTAATATATAATTTCTATAATTTTTTAATATACAAATTACAAGATAAAATGGATTAAAGAAGTGCATTGGATGGTGTGTAAAAATGAAAGTGTATAAATACTCTGGGACGGAGGGAGTATGTAAAATGTAAGGAAAAAGTTTAAGTCCTACATTGAAAAATGACCTATGTTTTAGTTTTAGTACAATGTCACAAAAAGTAAAAGTTGGCAAATTACAGACACAAAATGCTAAGAGAATGAGTAAACTGTAAATTGTTGGAAATTGTCAACTGGAAATGCAGGTATTTTGCCAGAGAGGAAACATACACTAGTAGATGAAAGAACACCCGCCGGGAAATATCACCGGAAAGTTTGCCGGAAGTTTTTAAAAGACAAAACAGCTCTGATATCTTACAATGTGAAATCTAGAGATAAAATAATGAACACTCCAATTTCTTGCATTTCAAATGAAGGATATACACAAATATATAGGAAGCTAAAGTTTTCAAAGTTACATAATTGAGTTTAATTAGGCAACAAATCATTTGTGACCTCTGTGCCACAATAATTGAGTTTGCAATTTTGTTGTATTATTAAGGCTTGGAAAGTTGTGTGAGGCACAAACAAAGTTTGGTTCAACAGCCATTTTGTTCCACTTTTCGGTATAGATGGGAATCAGGGGATGGATAACTCCTAGACATGACTCATCCCATAAGCCCTTTTGATGAAAAAAAAACGTTTGCTGCCTAACCATAGCCCTACACTCTTTTGCAATTTTACCTCCATGTTTTAAAAAATTACGTTGTTCCCCTTTTGGTTTTGATATTTCAAAAACAATGTTCTTCTAGACTAAAATATTCTTCAAAGTTTTAAGTGAGTAGCTCTGGTGTCCTCTATAGTTTTGGAAATGAGTACCAGAACTCATCTAAATTCATATGTCACACGTGAGTTCGTAATATGCCCTTCCCCAACATTACCTTCTATAATTTTAACTTCTTTAAACCTTAGATAATTATTCTCTATTTAGTTATCGATAACCGAATTTGAAGGCCGGATATCAGTTGATAAAGCTCGTCATCAATCAATCAATCTCTTCCACAATCCATGACATATTCATCAAGCTCCAACACATATATTGATGAGCGTGTGATTAACACTCCTAAATCTGACATGTAAGGGACTATTGGTGCAATAATTTTAAAAGTTCAAGAGGCATTGATACAATTTTTACCGTTCAAATAAATTCCTGTAATTTTAATTACTCATCCGATACGTCCTTTTGAAAAGAAAAAAAACATTTGCTAACCTGCCTAACCATATCCCGCCACTCTTTTGACTTTTGTGTAATCCTTTTGAAAATAAAAAGCATAGGACTTTTAATTTATAGATCCCAAAGTCATAGATTTGATGTAAGGGTATGTGTATGTAAATCTTACTTCTACTTAAAATAGAGAGGTTGTTTTAAAAAAATGGTTATTTCTGACACCACTACTAATCTCATACGTAGCCTCATCCTTATATTTAAAACATAGAGCGACTATTGTTTTTGAATGAATATTTAATTATCACAAATAATTAATATGATTGAAATAACTTTATTATCTGATCTCCTAGCATTATTTACTCTTATTTTAAATTATTCATAGAGTTTACTCCACTAATATCCTATGTGGTTTGGTAAAATGTGCAATGTTACTCTCATGTTTTCAAAATTTGCGTTGTTCCCCTCCCGATTCTAATATTCCTACAACAATAGTTTCTAGAATAAAATACCCTTCAAATCTTAGGTGAATAACTATGATGTTGTGGTTTTGAAAATGGACACCAACACTCCTTTTTTCTTCTTCTTTATTGTTTCTCTTTTTTTCTTTTCTTTTTTTTAAATGTTGTTAAGTAATTTTTTTAAAACTATTTTTATAAAGTTTTAGAAAATAAAAATTACTTTTATTTGAAATAAAAAAACTAACACATACTTTTTTTGAAGGAAACTTTTTCATTTGTCTGAAGTTAAATATTTTCATTTCTTGTTCAAAATGATTTTTAGTTTTTTTTTAACATGTTGGGCCGAAATAGTATTGAGTAAAATATTTTTTGACTGATGTCCAATAAATTTCTTTCATGATTTCATTTTCTCTTTTCTTTAAATGTTTTTTTCATTTCTTTTCTCTTTTTTTATTTTTTACTATTTTGTTTTAATTTTGACTAAAATAAGAAAAATCTTATAAAATTAAATTTGAAAAATAAATTAAAAAACATATACAGAGTATGAAAAGAACAATGAGAAAAAAAGAGAAACAAAAAAGAAACCAGAAAATGAACAAAAAATGAAAAACGTGCTTTAGCGCAAAAAAACAAGGAAAATAAAACAAAAATTAAAATAAAATAAAAAAGAACTTAAAAATATTTATGAAATAAAAGAGAAGAAAAAAAAAGAAACAAAAAACGTATGTAAGGGAGCATTAGAACTCTTTTCCAAAACTACAAGGGGCAACATAGCTATTGACCATGTCATATAAAGGGTATTATATTTAGTCTAGAGGGACATTGGCGTAGAAACACAAAAACGGGAATTGAGGTAATTTTTGTTGAAGGCATATAACGATACACATTTATCAAACCACATGTGTATTGGTGCTTTTTTATTATTAATTACTCCCTCCGTCCCTGAGTGTTTGTCCACTTTCTTTTTTGCACACCATCCAATGCACTTTTTTAATCCATTTTATCCTGTAATTTGTATATTAAAAAAATTATAAAAATTATATATTAATAATCTATATATATGTTAAGACGAATCAAACAAGATCACACATGACTATTTTTAGGCTTACACATTGAGAGAATTTGATAAGTCAAAGTACTTAGATGAACAGTTCCAAAAGTCAAAAGTGGACAAACACTTAGGGACGGACCAAGTAATTAATTCAACATATAATACACCAAATAACTTTTAAAGGGAGTACTATATTGCTTTATGAAACAAAAAGGAATAAAATAATCAAATGAATAATATATTGAAGATGTGGAAGAAGAAAATAATTAGCAAGTGGAAAACATTTTACAACAATAACCCAGTTGAATCCCACATGAGTGGGATCTTAGGAGGGTGTGTGTACGCAGACCATACCTTTACTCGAAAATAAAGAGGTTGTTTCCAAAGAGACCTCTAGCTCAGCGTCAAAAGTTGCATTGATTGACTAACTACTACATTAATTAAAGAAGTGCAAAGAGCTTAGAGATCCATTTTGCTTTATTTCATGACACCCCAAAGCAAAAAAAATAGTGTATTTTTTGTTCTATCGAAGATGATGGAAATATGAAAAACATTTTAGTGATATTTAATATTTTTTTAGATATCACTTAAGCACTTTTTTAATCTCTGTGAAGTCAAAGTGAACAATTCTTTATGAGACAAAGAGAGTACACTTATTATTATTACAATTATTATTGTTATTATTATTATTATTTACTTTTTTGACACTTTCCCGATTTGAATGAATCTAATTTGATCTAATTCTAATAAGAAAAAAATATTACTCCCTCCGTCCCAATTTAAACTTTCTGTTGTTGTTTACAATGTATGATTGAAGTTATTTTCAATTCAATTTATTTGAAAATTGGTACATAAATAAAAAATAAATTTATATATTTGAAAATTACACATAAAATTCTACAAACTAAGATGTTACAACACTATATTATTTTCTTAAATGAGTAGCAAAAATGAATAAAGAACATGATTAAAATTTTGCCTTATGGATGGTAAACGTGCTATTTAAATTAGGGCGAAGGGTGTACTACGCAAGCGGTATACAACAACAAAAAACAACAAATCCAATGAATCTCATGATGTGATGTTGGCTGCATTGATCAAACGACGTCGTTGCGCCTTATCATAAAGGAAATGCTATATTGCTACATAACTAATAATAGATGGGAAAAAACAAAAGTAGGAGTAAAAATTGAAAATATACCAAAATAAGACTTTCATATTTTTATACCCGAAATAAGAGTTAAAATGCATTTGCATTACCAAATATGGTCATGTACATTAGCAAAAAATATAGTAATATGCACATGTACAGTGCCACACATTACCACAGTGCAAAATCATATTCCAGAAAGAAACATATGCAAGTCTTATTTTGATATTTTTTTCTATATTTTAGTCCTATTTAGGGTGATTTCTAATAATAGATCTCCTCACTCTTTTTGGGAGGAGATTGAAATCATAGAAGAATGAAAAAATGACAATGAATAATTTGCAACGGATCGGCCAGAGGAATTTATTCCGATCTAATACTCATATACTCCGTAATTCAATACATGATTCATGATGCAAAAAGTTGATTTTAATTTTCATTGCCTCATTCTTTACAGAGTACTATTTATCAACAAAAACTATTTAAAATGATTAATAAAAATTATTTTTTATACAAATTTAATGATATATTCCATAGTAAATTTTATACATCAATTCATTTTATTATTTGCATATTGTTAATAAAAATGTGAAATATATGATACGGAGTAGACAACTAAAACGGGAACTTGTACGTTGCAGAATCAAGTCGCCTAAAATGTGTGTTATTTTTATCATATTTGCTTACAGGCACTTTGATGAGCGCAAAAGATATGAGTTCTGAGACCACAGTGTTTGCGGAAGGTTAAACATGATTTAGATTTGATCTCTTATGGCCACCAAGTCATACAAAAACAAAATTCTATTGCTGTTTAGAGATGAACCAAATGCAATTTTCTGCTCCAGTTGAACTATCTTCATGTAGCCACCTTGAATACAAAGAAGGCAAAAAAATTAAATCAAAGATTAATAAGCTTAGCTAACTCCACACAAATTCCCACTTTGGTGCATAAAGAAACACCAATAAGAACATGCCTAGTAGAATCTCACAAAAATTAGTGTCTCGGAAGGGTGTTTGTACACAGACCTTACCCTAGGATCAAAAAAAGAACTACGGACAAAGAAGCCACTACTCTATATAGATCTCAAGGCGTTCCTGTCTAAGGACATATCTTCGGTCAGATCCTGACCCTCTTTTTTCTTCCCCTCTTTTTTCTATTCCTCACTAACCAAACATAAAAAAAAAGTTTTTCATCACATTTTCTTTTCTTTTCCCTACCAAAATCCATGAACCAAACTGAGTGTAAATGTTTGACCTTTATTTTAGAAAAAAAAAATGAAACCAAACTACAAAACTCACATCATATAGTCTCAGTTGTCTCTTTTTCTGCACAATAACAATATTGGCCATCAACACTAAAATTAAGTTTATGTATAAACTAAATGGCATGTTTTTGGTTTGGGTGGAGAGGAGGGAAACTAGTTTTGTACCCAGTCCACCCATTCGATTCGAAACATTTCTTCAATGGGGCGCACACAATTTTCCTTCTCTTCCCAAACCACGCAAACCCTTTATGTAAAAGTGTTGGTCTCGAAACATTTCAAGCACAACAATAATCCATTAACAAAACAATTTCACTCAAAAATTGTATTAAGGCCAAGTACTAGGAAGTTGTGCTATATGTAACCGCAAACAATAACCACATAGTCACTTGTATGTTTGATCAGTCACTTACGCAAGGCTCCAAACATGCACTTAAACTTAAAAAGCCAACCAACTTGTAAAGTAAGTGTAAATTTAGAGATGACAAGAATACCTGAATCCTTAAAACCTCGAGAAACTTGCATCAAATGCCAAAATCCCTACTATGAGACCAGAAAGCCCACTGACAAAAAAGAAAACTCTACTGTTGTTTAGAAAGGAACCAGATGATGTGATTTTTCTGCTTCAGTGAAACTAAGTATGCAAAAAAGGAAAGAAAGATGATCAAAGGTTAGAAGGTTGTTGACAAAGTTCTGTAATCACGTAATTCCATACAAATTCCCAGTTAGGCACAGATAGAAACAACAACAACCTAGTATAATCCCAAGTACAAAAGCAGGGTCTCGAAAGGGTGTGTGTCAAACTGTGTGAAACTATCGATATAAAAATGTTCAAGAAAGGTGTCTTTCTTTATTTTAAGATACTGACATGTTCCTTCCCCGAATGTATGGCCTTTAGTTTAGAAAAAGAAAAAATTGGTTCAGAAAAAAAAAACTATGAAGCTTATGGACTACATCATATAGTCCCAACTGTGTCTCTTTTCGTGCACAATAACAATAGTGTCCATCAACAGTCAACACTGAAACTAAACTAAAAGTAAGGTACTCCGTAATATATAAACTAAAACTGAATGGGAGACGGGGAAACTAAAACTAAAATTAAAACTGCGTAATGTATAAACTAAAGCTAAAACAAAATAATGTACACCAACTTGTAGGGAGTTTTTGGCTGGAGTGGAGGAGAGGGAAAATGAGTTCATACAGGGTCCACCCGTTTGTTACAAAACATTTCTTGAATGGGGTCCCAAATTTTCCTCCCCCACCCCCCACCCCCCCTCCAACGAAACATACCCTTAATGTAAAAGTCTTCGTAACAAAACATTACAAACTCAACAATAATCCATTAACAAAACAATTTGACTCAAATTACGGGTGGAGGGGGTTGGGGGTGATGTTGAAAGATAGCATCACATTTGTATTAAGGCCAAGAACCAAGGAATTCAGCTATACTACACCGCAAACAATAACCACATAGTCACTTATGTGTTTGATGACTTTGATCGATCACTAATGCAAGGTTTATGTTTCTTGAAGACAAGGCAGATAAGATCAAGCTGGCAAAGATACAGATTTCGTAAAGAGATAAGAAAGCAATATTTTCTATTTAAAAAAAGGTGCAGAGCAATATTTTTATTTTTAAAATTTTTTTCTTAGGTGGTTTGGACATGTGAGAGAAGACCAATAGAGCATCCTGTGAGAAGGGTTGATCAAATGGTGAATAGGCATGTGGCCAGAGGAAGAGGTAGCCCTAAGAGGACTTGGAGAGCATTGATCAAGGGAGACTTTCGCGTGAACAATCTCAATATGATACACTATAGGATTTCATAGCGTCGTTTGATCCATGTAGCCGACCCCGCCTAGTGGGATAAGGCTTTGTTGTTGTTGTTGTTGCTAAAATGAGAAAGCAGGTTTATCAAAAGTGATCCCAAGCAAAATCTTAAACTATAAAGAATTACAGCCAGCTTGTGACATAAGTGTTCATTTAGAGATGAGCCGATGGAGCCAAAATTTCACCATTTTTTTGGCTTTGGGGTGTGATGGAATAAATCAAAATGGATCTCTAAACTATCTGCACTTCTTTAATTAATGAAGTAGCAGTTAGTTAAGCAATGCAACTTTCGACGATGAGCCGGGGGTCTCTTTGGAAACAGCCTCTCTACTTTCGAGTAGGGGCAAGGTCTGCGTAACCCTCCCCAGACCCTACTCTTGTGGGATTTAACTGGGTTGTTGTTGTTGTTGTTTAGAGATGAGAAGAATACCTGAATTTTTAAAACCTAAAGAAACATGGATCAAATGTCGCAAACGGTATCGAGCAATTAGAAAGCCCATTGATCTCAAATTTCACTATCGTAGAAACTTGGTTTTGCGGATCATATAAATATAATTTTAGTCCACTCTGCACAAGTATCTTTCCCTTGTCCATCCACAAATGAGGCACAGTCCATTCATTGGAGACTATGACAAATTGCATTACCCAAGATTCTTTCACACCATACTCCTTCATTATCCATACGGCGATGGTATATCCACCATTCCCGTGGGAGACACATCCCAAACACAGGCAAGAGTCTAAAACAAATAATACTTTATTCCTCTTCTTATATGCTGCACTAATGATGTCATCATGTACCAGGATTCGTAAAAATTTTTCCTTCCCAAAATGAAAGGACCATATGTAGGCGCGACCACACCAATGACTAGATCCATTTAGAAAACATCCACCTTTCGGGTTCCTCAATGGTGCATTGCCCACACTCCTCCATTCAACACCACCCAAATCCTGTATCTTTGCCACATGGATGTTATTCGTCATGTCCCAAACAAACATGAGAACCTTGAATTGGCCTGTCACCGGGCAACACCCCAATTCACAACCCAATATAGTGTGAGAATGCTTATTCAATTCATGCAGATTCTGGACATTCACACACTGCCACTGAGCAAATTGCATACGAAGTATTCACTCTCTCCACTTTCCAAACAAACAACTCCATTGTACTCACACAAGACATAAAAAAATTTGCTGGGTGTGTCGATTTTTGGGTGAACTTCAATGATACTGTCAACACCCCCGATAAGATTGCCCAAATCATCGGCATTCAAGGTCTTTTCAAGCTCAACAAGGTGGAAAACAATCCCCACCCTACCAACCCAGGCATTAGTAAACAACAAGGTGAATCGGGACGCATTACAGTGGCGGCGGAAAGAAGGGAATTCTGGGCTGACAACAATATGATACCATTCTTTGCAAACAAGCTTACAAGCTAAACACGTCTTAATCGGAACTCGGCCCAGAATTTCCCATAACATGACAGAAGGGATTTCAGAAAAAGGTTGGTACTGTTTGACTTTCTTCATCTGTTAGTCAGGCACAAGAGGGTTACTCGCATGGGAAATTGAAAGATCAAACTTATTCATAATAAACTGCCTAGCAGCCTAGGTGATGAAGATGATGAAAAGAACTGAACCTTGAAAGAAATCCTCTATATATAACTCGAAGGTAGATTTGAAAACAAGGTTTCAAGGGATTATTTGAAAAATCCCAATCCAATCATGTTTGACAAGATTGGAAATTTGAAATTGCGTCTGTTCAATTCCAATTCAAACTAGTTTCAAAATAGAAATCGGAACTGCTCAGAAAAGAAATCGAAAAAGATCAAAACGATTGAAATTAAAATACTAGAAGAGAACCTCAAAGATAGAACAACCAAGAGCGCCACTGTTCAATCCCGTCAGCCGAACGCAAATTATATTATACAACCGCGGCTGTGCCCAAATTTGGGTACAGCAGGTTAAAAGAAACGGAAATTTTAGATTGGAGATGGAGAGGGGCAACGCGCCAGATAGACGAAAAAGGGCATTTTTGCTATGTTCCTGTGTTATTAATTTTTCAAAGAATTGAGTATTACTTTTTCTAACAATGACGATATGTGTTATAATTATATTAGACATATGTTTAAAAATAAGTATTTTATTTTAAAATGAGTATTACTATATTTCAAACCTTTTGTAAAATAAAAAATTCCTCCGGAGTACCCTTGATTTTCTGGTAATGACTACCAAGTCCCACATTATCTAAAATATACTTCCAAGTACCCTCAATTTTCAAGTAAGAACTCTCAGGTTCTACATTACTTGAAATATTATTCGGGGATCCTTAAAATGAGTGGTAACGTACTCTTTAGGTATATTTTGTCTATTTGACCGTTAAAATTAAAAATTTTGTTACTTTGACGAATACTAGATTTTAGCTTCATAATCATTATTTTATTATATTTGCATATCTTTCACTTTCACAAAGTTAAAGAACTTTCAATCATAATGCCTAAATGAACGGAATATATCCTCGAAGTATAATATCACAAATTTTAAGGACCCCGAAGTATATTTTACATAATATGGACCCGGAGAGTTCTTAACAAAAATTTGAGAATACTCCAGAGCAGGTAACGTGAGACCTGAGAGTCATTACCAGAAAATCGAGGGTATCTGAAATTATTTTTTGTTTTGTAAAAGCCCAATGGTTAAAGAGTGAGTTGGGCTCACACATCATCTAGTTTTAAATTTTAATGTTACGTTATTTTTTCCTTTATTTTTCGCACAGTACTTTTTCTCGATACCTCTTTTGACATGTTATCTTCTATTGATGTAGAAAAAAGTGTGTGTGTGTCTATATATATATGTGTGTGTGTGTGTGTGTGTGTGTGTATAAAATTGTAATGGACTAATAAAAGTGTGTCTCTTTTCTATTCCTCCCATCAATGGAATCAATTTTCTCTCATTTCTCCTCTCAAATCACCATGTTATCCATTTCTTTTCTTCACATTAGTGATGCTCTTATAGACCTAAGCTCCTTGATTATCATACAAGCATTGCAAGTATTTTCATGTTCTCAAATCTTTCTACACTCCACAAATTCAAACCTCATACTTTGGTTGCCACAAATACCAATGATTTGAAGATCTTGCTAGTGTTTGTCTATTCTTTTAGGTGATGGACACACAATTATTTTAAAAAAAATTGTATGCCACAAGTTGAGCATTAGCTTAAAAATTAGCCCAACAAATATAAAGGTTGTATGTAATGTGAAAATTCTGAAATCAACCGGAAATCGATAATAGTCTTATAGTATGAATACATAAATTAAATAGAAAGATTAACTTGAGATGGAAAGTATTGTAAAATATGGAAACTGAGTATTCACCTTAGCTTCTAATATTATACAGAGTATTGCAAAACATGAAAAATTATAGAGTAGGAAAAGCCTAAAACATGATTTGAGGAAAGCTAAAGGATCTTACCTATGCAGTCACAAAAAGAACAAAAGCTTGAGTTACGTTTTACGTCTTCTGGTCATATAGACAGAAACAAATTCTACTGTTATTTAGGGAGGAACCAGATGATGTGATTTTCTGCTTCAGAGGAAGAACTGCCTTCATGAAGGCACCTTAGTATACAAAAACAAAAAGGAAAGAAAGGCAATCAAAGGTTAAGAAGATTGTTGACAGTGTTCTGTAATCAGCTAATTCCACACAAATTCCCAGCAGCAAAATGAAGAACAACAACCTAGTATAATCTCACAAAAGCAGAGTCTCGGGAGGGTGTGTGTACGTAGAAGACATTAAACTGTGGAACTATTGATATGGACCAAAGACTATGCAGCTAACGGAGTTTCAAAAAGAGGTCAACTTTGCAGTCACAAAAAAGAACAAAAGATCAAAGATTACAAAAGAACAAAAGATCATCTGGTGTTGTTTAGAGATGAACCAGATCAGATGTGATTTTCTTCTCCGGAAAAAAATGCCACCTTCAATACAAAAAATGAAACACACACACACACGGAAAAAAACCGATTAAGAAGCTATTGGACAATGTGAGCTTAGCCAAGTCCGCGCAAATTGCAAAAGAAAAACAATGAAAGGTGTCATTTTTGCAGCCAGTAAAACATAAAACAATGTACTCACTGCATTATATTATATTACATTTTTGGTTTTACCAGACAAAACCCAGTGCCAAAAAACTATGGATAAGAACATATTCAAGAAAGGTGTCATTTTTGCATTTTAGGGTACTGATATGTTCCTTCCCCAAATGTTCAACCTTAATTTTAGAAAAAAAGTAACAGTTGAGACAAAAAAAACTACAAAACTCACACATCATATAGTCCCAGGTGTGTCTCTTTTTGTGCACACTAACTAAATTGTCCATCAACACTAAAATTAAACTAAAACTAATGCTGAAATTAAATTGTCCATGTTTGGTTGGAGTGGAGGAAAAATGATTTTTTACAGTCAATCTGTTTGGTTCAAAACAAATCTTCAATGGGGGGGGGGGGAGGGGCAAGGTTTTCCTTCCCTCACCCGACCAAACATACCCATAATGTTAAAAGTGTTTGTCGCGAAATGTTTCAAACACAACAATTTGAGTCACAAAAGTGTGTCCTTTTCTTTTTTTAGCTAAAATGAGAGCAATTAACCAAAAGTTCCTAACGGGCTCTTATACATTAAAAAAAGAGTAAATTCCATAAAAAGGTCCTCACTTATAGGTTGTTTTACATAGTTAGTCCCTACCATAGTTTGTAAGGCGTCGCCTAGGCGATAAGGCGCTATCACCGGGACGCCTTGTCTACTCGCCTCACCTAGAAAACCATAAGGCGACCTGGCGCTCGCCTAGGCGTCGCCTTTCCTCGCCT